TTCGCTTCGATTGTTTACGTTACACCTGATCTTGAAATTTGATTGGTCGAAATCACGGGAGAGGCCAATTTTTGTGGGAGCAACCTCAAATTGTTTTTTCAACTTCTAATTCTATATCACAATAGAACTGATCATATTATTCTGTCCAGATAATTCATAAGATTTTTATTTTTAGGTTTGATTCATGCAAAAAGATCAATATGATAGCTTTGAAATTTTTGGAGCTTTCTAATAATTTCATCATTTTCAACTTCAATTCCATTTTAAAAATAGATATCAAAGATTATACGTATTCTGTTAATATCGTCGAACCATATGATTATACCTAAAATGACCTTTAGTTAATCGTAGAATGTAATCGTTCTTTAATAGTTTACCAAAATGACAAAAAACTTATTATCGTTATCTAAACTAGTCTTTAGTTACTTATTAGGGCTCTGGCAGGTACAGCATAACGGAATATATTTTTATTGGTTCAAATTTGACAGGCTTTCACACCATAAACGATGAGCGATAGAAACAATGCCAGAAAATAATGGATTTACAAAGCACATATGTCAGAATCAATCAACTGTTATTAAATTAAATTCTACCAAGACACGTGATTTTTTTAACTTGAACATATAACAGCTTCGTAAACAATTCATTAACTGTTAAATTCACTAGCGTACCCAAGATGGTATTCATTTTTGGTTAAACCTTTGAAATCAGATCAGTATTTTACAATATACTGTATACCATTAATACAGTATATATATAGTAAATTTCGTAAAAAGCTTCACAGAGTTTTAGAGTAGCTTCTTTTATTTATTTATTATTATTATTATTATTTAGTAACGGTAATAAATCAACCCACAATATACGTAGTAAAAAAAAAATTTTTTTATAGTAATAAACAAGCTTTTTTTTTCAACTTTTATAATAACTTTACTTGTAATTTAATAAATTATTATTATAGAATACAAAAAAGTCTGAGAATTATCACGGGCTAAAAGTGACATTTCCGAAAAATCCTTGGATGGCGCATGAGGCTTGTCGGTCACTGAGATGAGTCAAGTATGTAAGAGGTATGTACGTAAGAGGCTTATAACAGCCTCTCTTTTAGTCTGTACGAGGTAGGGACACATAAAAATCACGCCTTTGACGAGAAGCCTAAATAAGAGTATAATTTGTTAGTGTAAGTCACGCTCAAATGCTTAGAAAATTCGCAAAACTACCCTCGTGACAATATGAATTTTACTTATATACAGTAATTTCCGGAGGTTCTATGTGGTGTAAATAAGCCAAACAGCAATGTTCAAATTAGAATCATACTAGTTATTTAGTGAGATGTCGTACTTTAAATTATTATAATTTTTATACAGTATTTATTATCAGTTTTCATATCAATGTGTTTATCGTTGTCTTTTTATAAATTTTATAAATAGATCATACTGATTATCCTTATTTGGATGTTCAATGAATGATAATTCACCAAATTTTACATAGTAATGAAATCATAACTGTTCGTTCATCATTCTACGATGATTATGTAATTCGTCATATAATAATTTCAATATTCTAATTTTTTTAACCAGAAGATCAATTGATTTACCGACAATTTTAGATTTTGAAACACTATTGATTGAAAAATATGATCGATAGACAATTTAAAGTTTTCTTGCTATCATCACGAAAATCACAGTTACGGAAGTGCTATAATGTGGGCCTAGTCGATCAAGTCAATCGGAAGGATCGATTCTCACTCATGACAAGAGAATAAATTCGATTAATAATTAAATTGCTGTACTGTAGAATTGATTCCCACCCCTATTATCTATATCGGACTTCTCGGAAGGGTTTTTTTGAAATTATATCTATCGATTAAAAAAAAAAATTTTTTTCCACGTTCTTTGTTAATAACCCTTTCCGTTATTACATATCTCTGACTCATTCCGCAACATACAAAAAAAACCATTGTCTCGGCTGATCAGACAGAATTCTGATTGGCTAAAATTAAAGTCTACTTACTTCTTTTAGCAATTTTTTTTTGATCATCTTTTTAATCATTTAATCTCCCATCATACATTGGCAGTTATATAGAAAAAAATTGTACGTATGCATGTCATAAATGTCATAACAAAATCATGATCTGTTTGTGGTAGAACTTCAATCACGATCCATTTTTGGTATATACAAACTGTATTACAGTACTATTACAGTATATTATCGTGTGAAATCTTTAGCGTTAGATTATTCTCAATTTTTGTCGCGGTTTACTTTTTTTTTAGAAAGCAAAAAAATCATTTTGTCGAAATGTAAGTTTTATTTAAACTTACAATTATACAATTATTATAGTTATTATTATTACAATTTTAACTCTTAACAACTATTTTTTTTTCTTTTTTCCACTATTATATTAGACCTGGTTATTTTCTGAATAATGTTTTCACCTTTTACTCTCTATTTTGACAACCCGCTCTTCTCTACATTCGACCCTTCAGTTTTAACCACATCTTCCGTCGACCGTATACGTTATTGATCGGAGTCTCGAGTCACGGTCTTGAAAATTTGGTCTACTTATCGATTCAATGCTGATTTGCGACAAATATCAGAGGTGAGTTAAACTTATATCACTGAGTATTGCATGTTTAGTATACGTGTGTGTGTAAGTTACGCTGCGAGAGAGGAATCACTCGTGTAGGCACGCGCGTTTCGAAACTGCGGCTGGGGGTCTAACTATAGAAGGTTACGCCAAGGACTAGGAGGGTACGATGATGACATGACAATACTAGATGTTGCATGTCTAGTATACGAATGTGTGTAAGTTACGCTGCGGGAAACCGTGTAGACACATGCGTTCCGAAACTGTTTCCCATGTAGTTTAGACTGTCAGTCGCGTCAAGGACTAGAAGGGTACGATGATGACATGATGTACTCATTGTTTTATTTTATTTTTTATTTTATTTTATTTTTTTTTAGTGTTGGGCTTAACAGCGAATCCGTCGTTATTAACAAATTCATACGGTATATGACGAAAACTTGACGGCTTTCTCCACTCGAGGTGTAGTAACTTCAGCACTAGGTGAGTTAAATTTATATCGCAGAGTATTGCATGTTTAGTATACGTATGTGTGTAAGTTACGCTGCGAATGAGAAATCACTCGTGTAGGCACGTGCGTTTCGAAACTGCGGCTGGGGGTCCAACTATAGAAGGTTACGCCAAGGACGATGATTACATGATAACACTAGATATTGCATGTTTAGTATACGCATGTGTGTAAGTTACGCTGCGGGAGACCGTGTAGACACATGGTTTAGACTGTCAGTCGCGTCAAGGACTAGAAGGGTACGATGATGACATGATGTACTCATCATTATTATTATTCTTTTTTTATCCACCTTTATAAATAGTCATATACATGGTTCAGAAGGATGACGGTACCATCAACCATGAAGACATTAAACGATGATCAGAATCCTAATTACAAATGAAAATGGATGTTGATAATTTACTTATGAGGTGTTAATTATATGATGTACTGTATATTGATATAAAAATATATTGTAGTATTTGTTTTTTATATGTAAAATCATGATATCAATCAAATGAATATAATAAAAATGACTAAAGTCGTATTAATACCCTCACGAAATTAAAAATCGTAGCCCTCTAAGTTATATTACATAATTTATATAAAACTCGATTTTTTTTTATTTATAATTATTAATCAAGATAAAATTTAGGGGAATTTACAAATAAGGGCCCAGAAAGTGAAAATAATTACAAATACGGGCCCAAATTAAAAATAA